TATTTTCAGCCGGAAAAACAACAAACCTTTCATCTTGCAGCGCCTTTGCACTCACAGTTGCTCCTTTTAAGTTGGTATAGTAACTTTTGGAAAAGTGTGTATCACACTACCATTTCCGCTTTTATTTTCTGAACAGCATTAAAGAGAATGCGCAGAGGAAGAAGAAGAAGAAGAAGACGAGATTATGCTTTTTATTCTGGAAGTTACTTTATGCTAGGCTAATATTGAACTAAATCATATAAGAGTGGAAAAGGGTGAATGGGAGAATTTTCGGTAAAGCCAAGCTCGGATGTATTGGAAGTAGGCTCGTAGGGAAGTACACACCCCAACATGCGGGCAAGTCTAAAAGCAGAAGGTTTACCCCTTTTAGAGAATAGTTGCCACTTACTAGATCATGTCCTATATTGAACTAAATCTCTATAGAGCTTCGGAGGATTGCGAATATTCTGTCTCTGTGCTTCTTGGTTCAATTTCCATCTTTCCTACATCTCATAGATGTCACTATAATCATATTAACTTGCCTTATTCAGGCGTTTCTTTGCGATGACTTACTTCGATCACGTAGTAATTCATAAGTTTAAGGATTCTAGTTGCTAAAAGTGGATCTCCTATTGTTATAGGCCTAAATCCTTAATACTTATAATACTAATAATCCAATACACTTAGCATACTCTACCATGAAATTGATTTTGTTTTCGTAAGAATTTCAATTTTTCCCCATCAAGGTCTTTCCCTCCTATTTGTCTCTATCTGCTTAAATCCAGTTATTGGCTGGTAATCTCGATATTTTATTTTTTAAGGTAAAGGTGAAATGAACGGGGTGGGGGGGGGGAGTACTCAAATGTATGAAGATAGACTTTATCATTTCGTTTCGTCGTGATTTGAGCGGAAGTGTACTTTAGAGGAGTAATACGCTAAATCCTATTTGTAAGCAACTTATATCTCATTAATTCTCTCTCTTCCCCGCTGGTTGTGCAATGCTATACATCAGACCTTTCCGAAAGCTTTCAGTAAATTGATTCCACTTTCCGGGTGAGTAAACAGGTACTAAGGGTACAGTGGACACCAGAGATGGAAAGTGGAATTAAGATTCACTCGAAGAAGTTGGCTGGCCATGCATCCTGAGTTCGTCAGATGAACAACCAAAAATTATATCATCACCTGACAATTGGGACAACGCTGAATTATTATTTACCTCGTCCATTCCACAGAGTGCTATAAACTATCTTCCACTGTATTACACTTTTTTTCAGAAAATGTGAAGTCGATTAAATTACTTAAATAACTGTGCTTAAAGTTGTCCTTTTTCAATTTCAGGTTGGCATTTGCTACGGATGGAGGAATCGGTGTTGTTGACTACTACCAAGGCATCTGTCTTGTCTGTGTAGCTATTCCCGAACTCGAAGGTTGGTTTCATTGTGCTTATAATTATGCGTATGCAACTTTGTTTAATTCATAAACAACGGTTGTGTCATCGTATTCGACCAATTTCAAAATCTGATTAGGCATCAATTCACATTAGAGGAGTTTATTGCTGAACATCTGGAAACACTGCCCTTAAAAAATTCTCAAGTTCTAAATTTGAGTTATGGACACTTGACAACGCAACTCTAACATATAATCCCCCCCCCCAATAAATCGATTGCTAATGGTTAGCGCTGATATAATTCAATGCAAAAAAGTTGAAATATCTAGGGATTTTCGGCACAAATATTTATATAGATGGCAGGCGTTCTGATAGTTATCATTAGCCCTTTAGTTGACTTCAGGCTTCACAGAGGGAAAGGAACATCAAAGTGGAAAAAAAGTCGAGAGGGGGGAGGGAAAGAAGAGTGCTTCAAAGACGAAGGCAGAAAAAAGGTGAGGTGAGTACTGTGGAAGTTGTGGAATATGGCATACAGTGGGGTCATG